TTCGCCATATAAACCTATATAAAATAAAATCTGAACGTATACGTTCGTGAACGGACGATTGAAAAATAGACCCCCAGGTCATTTCGCCTCTCAGCCGAAAACGAGTACGGAAGGCGGATAACCGGTTTTTTCATTACGACAATTACGCAACGCAAATAGTATCGCCGGTATTTTAGTGTCCCAGGTGCTATGGTCGCCCTCTACAANATTTTAATGTCCCAGGTGCTATGGTCGCCCTCTACTAGTAGGGCGCGGAGACCTTTTTTTAGCTCCTGATTTTTTCGTTCTACCGGATTTGCGCGCGGATGATAAATAGGTGTGGTCCAGGCTTCCGCCCCCCATCTATTTATCGCGTTAATCATTTCGTTAGAAACCAGATTCCGTCCGTTGTCGCAAAGCAATACGCGGGGGTACCCAAAACGTGAGAAAAATTCGCGTTCGAGCGTGTCTACAATCGTTTTTGTAGTCGCTGCGCCTATCGGGTACGCTTCGGTCCAGCGACTGAAACAGTCAGTTGCTACTAACAGGTTCGTTTTTCCCCTTGATGTTCTGGGGTACTCACCCATTAAGTCGATACTAATGAGCTCCCACGGTTGTCTTGGAAAACACTTTTCAATATAATTACATAAATGTGATGTCTGCATGGTAAGTATAAAATATCACGCCCTAACATTTGCATGGAATTTATTTTAAAATTCCTGGCCCAATCCATCATGCTCGTTAGATTGCCAAGGCCATTTATTGTTTGAAAATTTTTTTGTTTCGGGGCCAATTTGAATTGTTAATCAAAGATTTAAATATTCGTTCATTATGTATTTTTATTACAAGTTTATATATTAAACAATGGTTTAGTGCACCAATGCTGCATTAGCGCCAAATTTAGATTTAAAATTTATTAAAATATAATTGATTATGAACCAATAGATAAAGATATTTCTTAAGTAGTTTTAAAAAAAAATTTTGGGTCACTTATGGTACTTAGTATCCGAATCGGCAGCATTAGCATTTTTTGATGATGATATATGTGAAGATACTAAAATTAAAATGGTAAACTCATTAAATAATTGGGAAGAAGATCCATGTACAAACAAACGTATAGTAGTAGGAGTAAATGAAATTTATGATTTTAAAAATAAAAGTATAGATGATTTTATTTCAACTGAGTCAAAAAAAATGTTTGAAAGATATGACATTGAAACAGATTTTTTAAATATCAATCCTTTGTTGTGGAAAGACAACAGTCAATATATCAGAAGAAAAATAATAGTAAATATTTTAAAAATTATAAATGATTTGGCAGAGAGGGGCGTCAAACTCATAGAAGAGTATAATAATATTTTAACAAAAGACGAAGCACAAAAACAATACCTATTACAGATTGTTACAGAATACCGGCGTTGTTATCCTAACTGCAATAAAAACACATTATGCCAAGAATTTTAAAAAAGATAAATTATTTAAAATATGTAGTAAATTTTTTTAGTACGTTTTTTTTTTTTAATAGTTTCTGGTTGTATATAAATTTGTAAGTTAACATTATTTTAGTTTCAATGTGAAACTGAGACGGTATTAATTTTACTCTGATGTGATTTTTTTAATTAAAATTAAAAAAATTGTAGGTTTAGAATAGTAAATAATAGAAAAAATGTCGAATTAAAAATGTATAGAAAATTAAATTTAAAACGACGGTTAAATGAATTTTTTTTATGTTTTTACAATGAACGATTTATAAATTAACAATTTCAACGGTAAGAATAGAACATATACGTTTTTATTTTTTTAGGGCTAAATAAGAAATTTTCATATACTTTTAGTTATTAACTAATGATCTGCAATTTTTTAACCGATTTACAATTGAAACTAATTGACGTACAAAATAAGTAAAATAAAATTAGATGATAACAATGTTTTATAAGTGTCAAATAAATTTATTTGATTTAAACAGATAAGTGAACAAAAAAATTTAACACTAAAGCAAAAAAAAAAAAATGAAAATGTAACAACAAGCAAATATATAAATAATAAACAAAGCAATAAGATGATTAGTTATGAAAATACAAATAGTTCATAATAAACGTAATGAAAAAAATATATATAATATAAAAAGACATCATTACAGCCCGTAATCTTCTGTTAACAAAGTTAAGGAATATATACATTGAATGTCGAATGCAAATTAATAGGAGTTATAAGGTAGTATAGTAATTTATAATCAAATCAGTTTCACCACCGTACTCAGTCCAATAGTTTTTATTGCTTCTACGTTAGCATAAACAGTAGTTAGCATTTCTTTTGGCGGAGGTGTTACAACAATTTCAATTAATAAAGACTCTCCTTCAAAGTGCTTTGGCATCTCATAGACTTCTCTTTGGTTAAACAACATCATTTGTGCTATGTCAATCAAGTAAATTTTTAACATACCATCTTTCGTCTCGTCCATAATTTTCCCACGGTACCATTCAGCGCCAAAAAATATCAAGCACATGTCGTACTTTTCAACTTTCTGGATGCGTCTCAAGTTATTTTCCATTTCGCGTAGTTTATCGCACAAGGTGATAACAGACTTTCTACTCTCCATAGAGTGTACAAGATAACACGTCTTCGTACGTTTTTGAACTATCATTATCTGTGGAAAAATTATAGTAATAAAAGATTGTATGTATGATAATTATAAATAACTAACTTTTTGCGTCTCGCCCAGTTTTAATGTTGGTTTCTTAGTACATAGGGCTTTTGTTGTTATGTCAATGTTGAGATTTCGTTTTTTGCAGTATTTTACTTTAACTTCATATGGGTTCATATCTGTGTTCTCTGTGCCATACTGTTTAGGCTACGTTTCTTTCGGAGTTACGGTGTTCTTGTACTGGTTAAGTCGGTCTTGAGCTGAATAAAGTTTGTTGTCGTTGGATAAGAATTTCGTGTTCATATTGAACTATCGACCGAAAAACGCAGTTATCGAATCGTGTCTTTCGTCGATATAATTGTGTTGAATTTCCATGTTGAGGTCGTATAATTTTCCAAATTGTATTAACTAGAAAATTAATTATTCAACATTAACTACAATTGCGGTTTACCTATAGAAAATAGAATAATTTACCTCGTTTCGACCTGTAGTTTTAGGTATGTGCAGTGCAACGTTGGGTGCAATACTTCTCAGCAGGTCGAAGAGTTTTCTACCGCCTCCTTCGTAGTCTTTACACATATGCTTCTCAAGACTGTAAACTTCGTGTTTCTTATACGATGGGCCGCCCCATGGGGGAGACGTCACTATGACTTGTGGCTTATATTTTTTCAAAGTTTCTGCAATTTCGAAGAAGTCTCCCTGTATAAATGTAATTTTCTCCCTGACACCATAAATCTCGGCGTTTCTTTTGGCGAATTCTAATTTATTAGCATCGATATCCACTGCGATTACATGTTTGTATCTCTTGG